TAATGTTGCTAAAGGAGGTAGTAGATGAAAAACAGATACAAAACATGAATAAATCCCATTATGAGACCCTCCAGCTATCAGATTTTCTAAATAATAAATTATGCAAATATATTCATAACGTGAATGAATTCAAATTTCATCGTGATAAAAAAACCACCGATACGTTCAAAGGCATAACACATCACTGCATAAGAATTTCTTTCTATGTGTAATACTTGCAAATAGTTCCTGTGCTGGTCAACTGGTGTGTGTTTTTTTCTCACAAGTGTAACATCAACGGGTAACTAGTGAACCAATTACTGAATGTGACATTTTGGTTACTTTTCGAAATAGGTGCAACAAGTCTGTTCACAAAGCCGTATGATTTGTTACTGCACAAATAAAGATCCGGTGGCCGAGTTCCAGGATACATTTTTAAATTCAAGGTATAAAACGTCTTTACATCTATCAGGGCATATTTGGAAGATTTTTTTTTGGCTGAAGGTTTATCTGCTGTATTTGGATGGTTTGCTACTGCTGAAAGTTGTAACCACCACAAATGACACAAGCTGTTTGTAAATTGTCATGAATTCAGAAGGTGTATAAATTATTGGCAGTTCAAACAGAAATAAAGCTTTCAAAAAATGAGCAAATAGTAGCCAAATTGTTGGATTTTTTCTTTCTTTCTTGGCAGGTCTTTTTGTCGTCAAAACATAGGCAATTTCAAAGGCAACCGAATCTCTAGAGTGTCATTATTGGTCTAAAAATCTCAACCCCACTTCTCCATAAATCCTATAGATTCTGACAACTAGAATTGGTAAAGTCCTGTTATGAAGGCTTTTAGTTCAGATAGTGAAGCGTCACGATAAATACATTTCTGGGTATTATTATTGGTGTATACAGAATATTTTACTCGTATTTTATAATTGGTGTGTTTCACATCTTTTAGCATATCATCCATACAAACAATTTCCAACATTGAATCACAGTGCTGGTGTTCCATCTAATAGGTTTCATCCCTGGCAAGAACCTAATAGCATTTTCTAACCTATTTCTACTGTTAGGTCATTCAGGTGTGCATGACCATTTTGTAGCACTTTGACTAGTCAAATATTTATTTACATTACTGTTTTTCCTCATTTGAATCAGTCTTTATTCTGTACTTCTCTATCGGTTGTATCTTGCTAACTTCTTTGGCTTACATGATCCAAGTCATCACTGGTAGCTGAGTTACCTGATGACTCACTTTCAACCTCCTCCCAGAGTTGTAAAAGCAGATTTTCATGAGACATGCTGCTGAATTGGACTAATTCTACAAGAAAAATCAAAAGAAAACATTAAAAAAGGTATAGTATGGGCATCTGTTACCCTGAGTGAGAAACCAATTCAAAGACAATTTGGTAAGTGCAACGGTTGGGAAAAGTCCAGGAAGCAACCAAAGAATGAGAGAGAGAGGTTCTAACACCAACTTAGAAACACTTCAGATTATTTTGGGGAAGTGAAGACCAAGCCAAGCTGTCATGTTAATATGACAAAGAGGAGATGGGATGTGCCAGCAGAAGTCTGTGCAAAAGATGGAAAAGAGAATACAGGCAGGTTTGGGGAACTGGGAGCTCAGTGTGGCCAGATCAGGCAGTGGGTGATGTGCCTGGAGAAGCAAACTAATGCCAGTTCGTGGGTAGCTCATAAATCATGTTGTGGTTTTTACTTTGTCTTAAAGGCAAAAGGGTTCCTACCTTTTAGTTTGTTTCATTTTTCCTCTCAATTCTACACACACATAGAGCCTTAAATAATTTCTTGAACAAAACAAGAGTAGAAGCAACTAATTTACTAAATAAAATCAGGTCACTTCAGGGGGAAGGGTACACACCTGTAATCCCAGCACTGGTAAGGCTGAGGCAGGAGGATCACCATTAGTTTGAGGCCAGCTTGGGCAACATAGTAGTTCAAGGCCACCCTGAACATAGTGAGACTGTGTCTCAAAAATACAAAACAACAACAAAAAAAGAAAACTCAAGTGAGGAAAATTCAATATAGCAATCATATTAGGATAAAATACAACCAATAAGAAACATTATATATGCTTTGATAGTGTCTGTCTCTGGGGAAAAAAACAGGAGAATGGGGGTGAGAGGGAGGGTTTTACTATGTATTCCCTTTCCCTGCTCAAATTTTGTACCATTTACATATTTATTAAAAACTAAATAAACTATGTTAGAATACTCTAATCTATAAAATATATAGCCCATTTGTTACTAGATACAGTCTCTTGCCCCAGTTCTTACCTATATAATCTGTGAGAATGTCAGATGCGGAAGTGAAAAAAGTCAAGGAAGGCTTAGTGAGGAAGCAGTGAGATTTGGTGATGGGTACAATGGAGGAAGCCAAACAGAAAGAAGATTCCAAATGAACCTTCATGTTTGCCTCGGGAGGAAATTTACATTTGTTCCATCTTGGCTTCATCATCTGCAATCTAGTAATAATGATCCCATGAGCATTACAGCAGAGGAGTAGGAATTAAGTATGCTAGATCCTGGCTACTAAAAGATGAATAAGACTGTAGCTGATAAGGAAGCTGAGGCATAGAAAGAAACCCCAAGGAGACTCCAATCTGCTGTGGAGGAGACAGACAAGTAAATAGGCAGTTTCAGCACACTATGATAAGCTCTGGTATGCTAAGGGACATGTAGGTGGCCTGCTGTCTGCATCAGGTTCTCCAGGAAGAAAGCCTAAGTTCTGGCTCTGGTGTAAATGTCTGATTGAGGAATACTCTCAAGTATTCCTGTGAGAGTGAAAGAAGCCATACAGGGAAGGGAAGAAGCTAGACAAGATGTTCACCTAGCGGAGAATACACGGCAGAAGCACCATGTGGTCTCCCAGAACAGTGACCAGGGGCTCATTTTTGAATCTCCTGTAGTAACGGTGGTGAACCTACGGGTATGCATGCTGCAGCTGGCTGTTTGTTATCCCCGAAAGCTCTAAAAGGTTCGCCCTCACAGTCTTTCAGCATCTTCATGTTGTCAGCAAGCAGTCACCACCTACTATGTTCTACTTTCATGATATGCCGAACGCTTCTTGGAAGAATTTGTGGCTGTAGGCCCCCTTCAAAGACATCCTTCACATCTCTGACTTGGAGCTGAGGGCAGCTTGCAGACTGGCAAAGAGCAGTGATGGTCCAGATTGGGAAGGAGCCAGAAGGCTCGAGGCCTTGTAAGAGCCCACTAACTAGTTTCTTAGAATCTGCCTGTTTAGAGATTTTCCTGAGACACAAACCAGAATATGTCACATCTTTAATTCCTTCAATGAGGACAGGTAAGAACTCGAGGCAAATTGCTTCTAGGAAAGGAAACAGGAACATTAGGGTTTCCGGCGTGAGAATGACTTTTCATGGATACTCTTGTGTAGTGTTGGAGGGGTAACCACGTGCGTGGATTTATTCACTATTCAAAAAACAAAACCTTCTCTTCAAAAGCTCCCACTGCCTCCCGCTATCCTCAGAAGAAAGACCATTTCTTGACTTGCTTTAGAAACCCTCTCTACTGCATGACAAGGGCAGCCTCTCCAGCCCACACTAACTCAGCCACCCTGGACTTCAAATTCACCAGCGTCACGCTTTTCCTTCTGCTTCATCTTTCCTTCCCATCTCTCCCTTCTCCGTCTTTGTCAGGAAAACCAGTCTCAGAGTCGAGTCACTTTTTCAAGGCAGACTTAGCCTGCATACGGACCCGCCAGCTCGGTCAGACCCCTGCTGGGCACCGCCCCACCCATTTCAGCAGCAGGAATTTATGAAAAGTCTTGATGCAGCGTAATCAGAGGATCAGTTCGCCTAAGAAGTCAGGGTCCATTGGGGGCTAGTGCGGTGCAAGGCACCGAGTGGATGCTCAGGGAGTGTTCACTGGATGAAACTAGTCTCACAACCGTTGTCCATCTCAAGCAGGATTCGTATGGGTAAGGAGAGGCGAAGAGGAGTGGCGCCAAGCACCCTCTTAGGCTGCTTTCTTGTAGGCGGAGGCGACACTATCACGGTCTCATGGCTCACGGCTGGCAGCTCCATGGGAGGGAGGACGACGAGGAAGCCCGAACCTGCCGCAGGAGGGGAAGTCAGGTGGCTAATATGCTTTGCGTGAGTCACAACATGGCCTTCCCCCAAAGAAAGGAAATCGGGACCACCTGGTAGTCCCAAAAGGACAGAAGCCAAACCTCCAAGACCTGTCGCGGGGAGAGAGTCCCGCGC